TTAAAATCCAGTTTGATTTTGGTGGCAAAAATGGGACAAAGTCACGTGATTGGCGTCTTTAAGTGTCCTGCACTATATAATAAAAATTTTGGTATTTGTTACAAGTATCTTTAATCCAAAGAATATTAAAGCGCAATCCGGATCGGATTATATATCACGTGTAGCTATTAGTATATGTAATTACGTATTGTGTAAAGATCATTAATAAATCAAGTAACCAAATTAATTTATTGTCAATGACCATTTCCACAGACATTTTTCCTGTAACTTCCATACAAGTGGACGACCCTTCCGTATATGATAATTTGGATGTTATCGTAACAAACGCTAGCGGTAAAGTACCGCTTCATACACGCTTTCGAGCAATATTTACTTTAAAGAACATTGGAGATGAGAGAAGTGTTGATATACTGGCAAAAGGTAAAGAATTAGGCAAAATTCTGTCGTTATAAAGCATTATGCTAAAATAATTAAAAAAAGGTTTATTCATTAAAAGCATTCAATGATGAGTCCGATCTTCTCAAACACGAGCTCGCTTATGTACTCGGGCAAATGAAAAACTCATATGCTAACCCAATACTTCGGCAAGTTTTATCGGATAAATCGCAAGACCCTATGATCCGACATGAGGTTTGTAAATAAACCTCTTTCTTATTCGGCATGATCCTGTTTATTAATATTAACCGTTTGAATAAAAAGGCTGCAGAAGGTCTTGGAGCAATCGGTGATCTTGAATCGTTAGATATTCTCGAAAAGTATCTTGACGATGAGCATCAAGTAGTTCGACAAACGTGTGAGCTGGCCATCGCAAAAATAAAATATGAACATGACTCGCAGAAATCAAAAGATTCATCAAACAGGTTCGATGGGATATTATAATGTATAAATTTTTCTTTAAATCTACGCAAAATAATTTATCGTTATGGGTGCAAAAAAGTAAATTCACGTCTATTGATCCCGCGCCTCCAATATCCGAAATCCAATCAGTCCCGAAACTGAAAAAAATACTATTCGACGAGACCCTACCAATTTTTGATCGCTATCGTGCAATGTTTGCATTACGTAACATAGGCACTACCGAGGCAGTAATGGCACTAAGCGAGGGACTAAACGACTCGTCTGATTTATTTAGACACGAGATCGCGTACGTGTTCGGGCAATTACAAAGTCCAGATAGTGTGCCCTCACTTATAAAAACCTTGGAAAATACCGATGAGCGGCCTATGGTAAGGCATGAAGCTGCAGAAGCTTTAGGCTCCATTGCGACGCTTGACTGCTTACCTGTGCTCAAAAAATATCGACACGATTCAAGTCGAGTCGTGAAGGAAAGTTGTGAGGTGGCATTAGATATGTATGATTATGAGACCTCTGCAGAGTTTCATTATGCGGATATGAGTAGCTTTGATACAGAATAATTATTCTAAGAATTCTTCAAAATAAACCTACATGCACCATATTTTTATTAAAGTCAAGGATGAAGACGAAAATTAATATTATTTACTGTGATTAGTAGTAGTATTGTTATCAGTATTGGCTTTAAAAATAATCACCAAAACTTGTCTCTTATTTTTATATATAATACAAATTTAGAAAATTAATATTAATTAATTAAATGTGAAGACGCTTTGAAGATGAAGAATAATGTTGTTATTATATTTTGAGTTGGGAAGCGTCAAGTCCCAATGCGTGGAGGAATAAATTCACATTAGTGATTTTGTGTGCAGCTTTGTCGTGTGGCATTCGTGAAGCTTGCACTACAGTCTCCAGAACCCGCTCTCTAAATCCAAGAAAATCAATATTTATTTTTATAATGTTTAAATTTTGAGCGTTTGTATTACCTGATTTCGGTTACTAAGACATGTTGTTGTTCCATTGAAGCTCCAACTGCCATAGCTGCCAAGAATTGCCACACGTACATATCGTCGATGTTTGACGTAAAAGGCGGGAACGACGACAAGAAATAATTTTGAAGTTGACTAAACAATCGATTGTAGGATTCTTGCCTAGTCAAGCCATCCAATATTAATCAATGTCGATTTGATAATGTATATAAACCATCATAACAAAAGTTACCATTGCATTATTTCTCGATCTTCCGGTGGTGGTAATCCTTGCATAGCACCACCCCCTTGTTTTAATATTTCCGCTCGACTCAAAAACATGGTTAGGAAAGCAAGACCAACCTAACAAAATATACCAATAATGAGATTTGCGGACTTTGGAAAATATGTATTAATATATTCATCCCTAATATAGACAGTACCTTACTCTTAGCAACCCATATAATATTATTTCGCTCTATAAATAATGTCAAAAGCCCAATAACAATTTTCAGTGGTGCTTCGGCTACAAATTGCAACAATGGTGGAACAACAGTGTTCATAAATAATTCAACTTCGTCCAAAATTGATTGTTTGATGTTTCCATTCGATCCCCCAATTGCAGCTTTGCATACATCTAATGTTTCAAAATTGGCTACAAGAATTCGAATCATTGCGCCGATTTGATCCTGGTTGCAATGTCGCAGCACCCGAGGAATAACCTTTTTACCCTTTGAAACAGAAAGTATGCTAATGAAGGGATGTTGAAAACTGTTTCCAAAAAAATTTATAAATAATTGAGCCATTATGTCGATCAGCCACAGTATATGAAATTGTTGAATTGAATTACCTGATGCCAATCGGATCTGTTACATGTAATTCCTCCCACATTTTTCTAGCTAATTCTGTGTATTTTTCTTGCCTGTCAAATATACATTATCAGAATTGAATATTCTCATGAGTCTAAATTAATATAAAGATTAAATTTACAACCATTTATCCTCTCTTTCTTGATCAGAATATTGTCGCGATTGCGGATGCTGATTGCGTCTCAATTCTTCTAGTCCCAAGACTGCCGAATAAATATTTTCAATAGAACGCAATACTTTCCGATGATCTACTATACCATGCAATGTGATTGAGGGGACTTTGTGATGGGTGCCTCCACTTGGGCTTGCATGAGTTTGAAGAGTATCAGTGTGTTTTGCCGAAACTTGTAATAATTGTCTAGGATTACGAACTGAATTAAGCGCAATCTTTCCTAATGCTCCTTCCAATGACACTAAAAGATAAATAGTCAATATATAAAAGAAATAACTGGAATAATTCAACATTTTATTTTATTAATGCAATATTTACATTGAGTGGATTTTGGTTTCCTTCTCGCATCATTTACTATTCTCAAAACTTGCTGTTGCATTTTTAACATCCCACTTTCTGACCCTCTATTTCGGTGTCTTCTTTCCTGTCCCGCACCACCACCGCTAGCATTGGGAGAAAATGGGCCCATTTGGGATTGTGTTTGACGGTTCCGTATAGCGGTGTATACTTGATAATAAAAATCATCTGAATATGGATCATCAGTCACAAGTTGAGATATTTGGATGCGATTGATATAATCTTTGTCATTTTGTGTCATAAGACCATTATATTTGGCCTAAATATTTAAAAGATCTCAATATTTTCAATCTCATTATATAATCAAACGAAGCAGAATTAAATTTACCATATCCGTAAGTTTTCTTTGTTTTTCTCGAAGTTTTCTTTCCCTCTCATAATATAAAGTCTCCTGTTCACGTATCGCAGCCTCTTGTTCCAAGAAAGCGGTCTCTTGTTCACGATACACACCTTCTGTTTGACCATATATTGGCAAAGGTGGAGGACGGCTATTCATACCTAATAGTGCAGCTTCCACTTCTGCCAAACTGAGCATTCGCTTCTCTGGTAAAGGAGAGTTATGCATCGGCGGTGGTAATTGTGATTGTGGTGGAGGACCAGCTTGTCTTTGTAATTGATGATTTTCTATCGTTGATGATTGGCCAGCTTGTCTCTGTAATTGTTTTTCTATTTCTTCGAGGGTAGGCACGCGCGCAACAGGAGGTGGACCAAATCCAGGTGGTAGTGGAGATATTTGAGATGGTGGATAGTTCGGCGGGTTTTCATAGGATGGGTGGTGTAGGTTTGTCTCATGATGGTGACGAGGGAGAGATTCTACAACGGTGGCAGTAATACGGAGACAAAAAATTCAATTCCGTCCAAAAATATTTAATAGAGTAAAAAAACCAAATTCATGGCAGAGAACTGGATAAATTCTTGTCGGTTGTTGGAAGCCAAACCTTTGCGAGTGGAAGGCGGATGGTATGATCCCCAAATAGAAGGACTTATTGGAGACTTGATAAAATCTCTAATTAGTTTTAAAGATCATAAAATATTTAATTTAATAAATGTGCAAAAATAAATACCTCAGGCATCAAAGGTGAAGTTGTCGGGTCATTTGGATAACTACCATTGCCATTCACTGCTATCCCAGCCTGATCGTCCCATAAATTCGAAAATAGGGGTCTTTGTCGTATAAGTTCTAATAATCCGAAAAAAATCAATTAAAATAATTCCATTATATAAGCCAAAGGATACAGAAAACATACCATTATTATCTGATGGTACATTTTCCCTTCGATCAACATAAATTTTCTCTTCTTTTTGTATTGTATCTGCTATTTTAGCATTACTTTGAGTAAAATCGAAATCATCACCTATATTAGCTATAATTGAAATATATATAATTCCCAAGGCGCATTATTAGAAATATTAGATAAGGAGTCAAAATATCATGGGTTGACGCTTACTAATGTCATTTCCAAAAGTTTCTTCGTTATAGTCATCGCCGGTTTCAACTAATTGATCCGCCAGAGGATCGTAACCATAGACTCCGAAATCCTGACCAGACTCGAGAGCAAAAGCTTCAAAATTTTTAGACAACTCGTCTTCGGTTATTTCCGCAGTTCCAGCAGTCAACTGGTCAGAATTTAAAGGAGGCATTGTGGTATCGAAGCCGAAATAAGAGTCTGACATTCTTTTACCTTTTATTAGCTTCCCGTCTCTTTGGGAAGCGAGATGTGAGTGATTGCTTTATATATCTATCGCTTATACAGATATAAAAATATTTGAAAAAGGAAACAAGCGGCAACAACCAGTGGTTATCCTACGTTCTACACGATTTGATGATGTAAGATTTTCATATTACTTAATTCTGGTATATTATGAGAAGCGCGTTTATCGAATGTTGATCTATAAGTCTGAAAAAAAATCTACACGCGTCGTTTCTAATAATACCTCTGGATCTTTACGAGAAACGAAGAATTAAATGCTGTTATTAAATTCGCACTTATTTAAAGAATATCTTCAAGCAAAACGCAATAGCCTTATTGTTAAAACGACGAAAAATTTCTAGAGAAAATTTAGTGGTTAAGTAATATTTTTATTCGGTATATTTCTTTAATAATCTAAATGATGAAACATGTATTTTCTTGTGAATCTGATTATTGAATGGATGGTTAGTAAGTAGCTAGAGACTGGTCGGTGAACGCGATTTGGTAGAAATATCTTACCCTAATAGCCCATACCCGAAAACAGCTACCCGAAAGGTAGCCCTCGGTAGGGACCAGAAACTTAGCTATTGAATAGAATATACATCCGATTCGATTTTTTATTTTTTTTGGGATATATGACATTCTGATTAAGCTTATTTATTTATTGTTAATCATTATCTTACTAAAAACATATACTAATTAATTAATTTATATTATTTTAGAATTTATCGAGAAATATATGGAATTAAAAAAAGCCAATGGAGAATTAGAAGAAGAAACGAATATCTCCCAACAAATTAAACAAAACGCAAATAGTCTTATTGTTAAAACAACGAAAGATTTCTAGAGAAAATTTAATGGAATTTAAGGTTAAGTAATATTTTTATTCAGTATATTTCTTTAATAATCTAAATGATGAAACATGTATTTTCTGCATAATATCCTTTTTTATTCTTAAGAGTAGTTTTTTTTACTTTTAAGAGTAAAGTAAAATCTCGCCTTCCTCTTTTTTTTGTGTGAAACTGATTATTGAATGGTTACTTAGTAAGTAGCTAAAGACTGGTTGATGAACACGTCAGGGTAGGAATATCCCACCCTAATAGCCCATACCCGAAAAATATTTATCCAAAAGGTAGCTCTCAATAGAGATCAGAAACTTAGCTATTGAATAGAATATATATCTGATTCGATTTTTTTTTAAATTTTTATTTTTTTTTGAAATATATAACATTCTGATTAAGCTTATTTATTTATTATTTATTATTAATCATTATCTTACTAAAAACATATATTAATTAATTAATTTATATTATTTTAGAATTTATTGAGAAGTGTATGGAATTAAAAAAAAATTAGAAAAAGAAATGAATATCTTCCAATAAATTAAACAAAATGCAAATAGCCTTATTGTTAAAACAATGAAAAATTTTTAGAAAAAATTTAGGTTAAGTAATATTTTTATTCAGTATATTTCTTTAATAATCTAAATGATGAAACATATATTTTCTGCATAATATCCTTTTTTAATTTTAAGAGTAGTCTTTTTACTTTTAAGAGTAAAGTAAATCTCGTCTTCTTCTTTTTGTGTGAATCTGATTATTAAATGATTACTTAGTAAATAACTAGAAACTGATTGATGAATGCATCAGAAATAGGAATATTTCACCTAATAACCTATACTCAAAAATCATTTACCCAAAAGATATCATTCAGTAGGAGCCAGAAACTTAACTATTGAATAGAATATTGTTATAATATGAATATTTAGTTCTTATTTTATTGATTAATTCATATCATAAATTTAATTGGATAATATTTTATTATATATTCTATTGGTTAATTTCATATTTATATTTTATTGGATAGTTATTTTTAGATAGTTGTTATTT